TTTCAATCGTATGTTTGGTTTGAAGGATTTGGATTTGACATCCAATAAATATAGGATTTTGAAATCCCATTAAGTTGGTTGGTATTTCGTGGGATTTCTTACGATTTATATGTAATAATGTTTTAAAACATGTTAAAAACATTTGTTCTTTAATAATCAATAAATAAAAATATAATTTATTTTTATAATTATTTATTTGTTTTTATAAAATATATATTATTTGATTTTGTAAAGAATGGAATTTAGTTATATTTTATGTCCTGTAAACCAAACACACCAAAGATTCCAAATACATATCTTTCGGATACCAAATCTTTCAACGAAATTCAGATACCTCAAAATCATTCTATCGAACTAAACATCCCTAAATTATCAAATGCAACAAAATATAAATAGTATAAAAATCCATAAAACTTCCAAAAAACCAATTATGACGTTAAACAACTATATTCCATAATTCAAGTCAAAATGTCTAAAACCATAAAAGGGGGCTCACAATAGGGTTTTCCCATCCTACATGTCAATCGTTTATAGGCTGAATTTCAATATATGTTGGCAATCCGAACCAATCATAGCTTAGTGTTTGAATTTTTCAATCAATTCGATCAAATCAGTTACATCTATTAGATCGGATTGGATCCGTCAGATATTTTGATCTGATTTATCAACCAAATAATTAATTTTTTCAACCATTTATTCATATATTTTTTCTAATTTCTTAAAAACACTATACAAACATCAAATATAAGAAGATATTATAACAATTCATTAACTACGTATATTTATTAATTATATGGTAATTAGATGGCTTTAGGATGGATAATTGTATTGAGTCGGTCGGTCTTATTGGATTATGGGTTGTCGTTTAAGAACCAACTGATCCAATTTGAATGCTAAAATTTTGAATTTAATCAACCCAATTAGAATTAAATATCTGTTTTTTTATCGGTCAAGTCTTATTGAATCAAATAACTTTTTATACACCTCTAGTTATCAAAATATAACAGACATTGTAAATGCATTTCAAACCAGTAACTAATAACAGATGATGCAAAAAATATTCTACTACCTAAATGGATATGTTAGCATGTGCACACAAAGTTTTACACAAATTGCTACTCAAAATCATCCATGAAACAAGGGATCTTAATATCGATGGTGGTTGGTAACTCTTATTACAATAAAAAAAATTCTCCTAGTTCTCAGCACTTGTTAAACCCTAAACTATGCAATAATAAAGTGTTTCATATACGCGTTTAAAAAAAGACTTGCATTTTTCTTCAACTTGACAATCTTATACACTCTTTCATACAACGATGAAATCACTTTGACTTGCTTGTTTACTTCAACCAGATGTTTTTAAGAGCTCCTCATTTTTTCAGGTTTTCGAAGGTCAGGATATGAGCTTTATGTTTTATGCATGTGTTATGAATTTCCACAATCTAACATCATCAAATCTACAATTCAAAATACTAAAATATTTCATTATTACATTAGGGGTTTTGTTAAATTATCAAAATCTCAGGGTGTAATATATGCAATAATGCATGATGTGATGTGATGCAACAAATGCACAATTCATTAACAAAATAAACATTGTGCCATTTTGGTTCAAAAGCATTAGTCGGAGGACTAATAGCGTAAGTACACAAAATTAAAGGGTGAAAGTGTTAAATTATTCAAAACAATGCCATTTTGGTTTTCAACATACAGTAATAATATAATATGGGGTAAGGAAAAGCTGTGTATATTTTATTTTTGGACCTGATTTTTATATAATTTACTTAGAATTTGTTCAGTTTGGTTAAATTAATTTTTCATGATATTATTATTTTTTTACCTTAAAATAAATGCCATATTTTTATTTTTATTTATTCAAAAATGAGTGTCCTAATTTCAAAACGATTTTTTTCATTTTATTTTTAATTATGACATAAGAAAATTTCTCTGGGTACATTTATTTTTAATTAATTAAAAAATATAATAATTAAACTAATCTAAAACCCATAAGTATTTATTTAGGCCGCAAAAAATATAATTTTAATGAAAGGGTGAATGGAAACGGAAGTACGTTATTTTGTGTTTTGCTAATAAGAAAGAAAGAAAACTAAGGGGCTATTTACTAAATATTTATAGGACGCTTATTGCCACCACTTACTCTACTAATTGTGTTGTATATATAGTCTTCATGATGAGATTTGTCCCAATTGGAAGGGTGATAAATTCATCTTTAGTTCATAATCTGTAAACAACTTGTAGAGTTGATCAAGTAAGCTAAGGAGGATTTGGCCTTGTTGTGTGAATTTTACACATATATTAAATGATAAAAAAGATAGCATTAGCAAGTCGTGCTAGCTTCTGGAAATTTGTGCATTTAAATAATATATCTAACGACTTTCTGGGCTACTTAACACATCACAAAAGTCGCCTCAGGCACTGTTGGACAAATTTTTTTGACTGTTTTTAAGAGGTTTCTTCATGGTTTTTTGATTCGGATAAAATCAATTGGTAGTTTTTCTTATCCATAATCAATTATAAACACAAACCTATATATATATATATATATATATATATATATATATGTGTGTGTGTGTGTGAGATCATTTCATTATATCAATCTCTCTTAATCCTATTCCTCTCTTCATAGAAATTTGTGCAAATTGTTCATGGAAATGCATATCTAGTTGTTGGATATATTTTGTTTTATTGATTAAGCAATCTCGGGGGTGTATTAGGGGCCGTTTACCAAATGCTTACTCGCGTAAGCGCTTACCAAGTCACATTCCTTTACCGTATGAATATGAAAAGGACAAAAAATCTTACCTGGTAAGAGTGAAGGCAAGGATCGAGAGTCTTACCCGGTAAGTGATGGCGACGACTCTTACTACGGTTAGCGCTTACTGGATAAATTGTTGCATACGATGTCGTTTTGATAGACTAAAATCTTACACGATATAGTAAGCGATAGAGTTGAATTTTACCGTTAAACGCTTACCGGGTAAGTGTTTAGGTAAACGGCCCCTTAGTCTTTAACCCTAACAACCTTGATAATGGGGACTAAGAATATCACAAGGACAATGTTTAATTATGTCCTAATCATTGATTGTCTACACTATTTCTCCTTCTATTACTCTCTTTTCTAACAAATTGAGCATGACATGGGTCAAATTTTATCTAGTAAAAGACATAACAAGGACCGATAGTTTTATCCGGTAAGTGAGAAAAAAAAAAGGCTTTTTACCGAGTAAGCTCTTATAAGGTTTAAGATGCTTACCAAAAATCTATTTTGATGATTAAGAATATTATATGATAAGGTATGTAAGGATACTTTCTCTTGCCGATAAACGTTTGACGACAATTTTTTAATATAAGTGGTCTAGAGAAAGAAAGTAACATTTTATTCATTACTTTTTCCTTAATCATAAAATAACTTTGTTCCATAAGTTTTTTTTAATTGTCCTATTAAACGATAATTTAGTAGGTCGTTTACCAAATGTTTATCGGGTAATTGTTTATCGGGCGTCACATATCTTAGTGAATGAGCATGACAAATACTGAAAATTTTACCCCGTGGAAGGCATAACAAGACCAAAAATCTTATCCGCTAAGGGAGGGAGAAGATTTTTACCAGTATAGTGATTACCGGGTGTCACTTACCTTACTGGATGAGCATGACAAGTACCGAGAATCTTATCTCGTAAGAGGCATAACAAGAACGAGAAATTATTTACCTGGTAAGTGAGAGAAAACTTTGTTACCTATTTAACATTTACCAGACAAAAAACACTTATCAACAGTACATTTTCATGGCTAAGAATCTTAACCCATAAGATAATTGAGAACGGTAACTATTATCAATAAACGATTACTTGATAAATATTTATTAAATGATCCCTAAATATTTAATATTAATGAAAAAGTTATGAAATACATGACAATTGAAAAATCACAAAGAAAAGGAAATCATTCAAGGGTTTAACTTTTATCCTCGTCTGATAGTTAATTTAAATATTGAATGTTTGTTTGCATTGATACTTTTGATTGGTTAGGTTTTGTATGGGTTCGTAGAGATATTTTTTACTCGTATTTTGGTTAGTGTCGCATTCCTTTCATATATAAACTGTTTATGAGTTGAAATCCATCAAAAATTTAGAATGAAAGTATCAAAATTCGATGTTTTACGGTTAAAAAATACTTGGAAAAAATATAACAACGACGTGATGTCACATTAGAAGAAGATAAAAAGTCGTTTTTAATATAACTTGTTTTTGTCAATTTTCTATTGTAATTAAAATATTTTAGATAAAACAAAGAGGTGTCGTATTGTAGTGTAAAAAGGAAAGATGTATTACATTTGTATTTGGGGAGGATTTGGGAACTAATAAGAAAATGCCATCATTGCCTTATTAGATAGGTATGTAAAAAGGAAAGATGTATTATTCACAATTTTCAAAGACTTGTTGTCTCGAGCTTGTCAAAGCTTGGTTCAACAATCGCCTCTTCTACCCAATTCATTTAGGATTCGTTGAATGCACTATCCGAAAGAGTTTCCATCTTGGAAACGTCTTGTAAAACTCAAGCCACTAATCTTAAATGAAGTCATAATGACCAGGACGATCCTGATCACCATGAGAGGAAGATCAAAAGGCAAAGATTGGTTGAGTCATTAGGATTTGCGGGTGTTGAGTCAAAAGAAAATGATGCTTTTGAAGAGCATAATGATGATTATTCTGGTGAAAGGGTGACGGGGAGAGAATTGGTATTGTACGTAAATCCAGAGATAGAACAGATGGTTGAAAAATCGTAGGTCACTACATCAGAAATAAAGAGGATACTGGGTATATCAGTTGATTTTGATGATGATAATGTTGAATCTAAAGGTGGAGGTCAGGATTTCTTTGTTAAATCGGAAGAAGAAGATGCTGATTCAGACGATCTTATGTTTGACTTTGAAGCTGCTCTGAACGACAACGAATCAAAGTTTCCTTTTTCGAATGTGCCTATTGAAGAACCTGTAACTGAACAGAACCACTAGTTGTTCTTGCTACAACTTCTCCACCTGACGGGTGTCGAGTCCGGCAAATAATAGAATTTTATAAAAAAAAAAATAAGCCTATTATCTCTAAAACACAAATTGTGATAACGATAAGTAGGGTCGGCCAATACAACCCACACTCAAGTACCTTCTCGTATGTCCGCTTATGGCCGAAGTGGCCCCCACAAGCATGGGAGTGACAAAACTGTAAAACAGACTGAAACTCCCCTTGGGGTACACATCGCCGGATAACTTGGTCCGGACAATGTTTCCAAAGGTATGGCTCGTCCCACATGTAGAGACAAGCCTCTCTCCTAATCTTTTTTCTATCGGGTCTAGATAACTCACCTGGGAAGCTCTTTGAAACCAAATAATTAACGATGTCCGCATACCATGGGATTTCGCCTGAAACGGAGAAAAGGTGCTCATCTGGAAACTCATCAGTGAGTGGGCTTGGCTCTCCATCCAATACTAGTCGGCTAAGGTGGTCGGCAACAAAATTTTCAGCTCCGCTCTTATCTCTAATCTCCAAATCAAACTCTTGGAATAAGAGAATCCACCTTATCAACCTTGGCTTTGCGTCTTTCTTCTTGAGCAGGTACTTCAATGCGCCATGATCTGAAAACACAATCACTTTAGTGCCGAGCAAATAAGATCTAAACTTTTCTAAAGCAAAAACAACTGCTAGCAACTCTTTCTCGGTGGTTAAGTAGTTGCATTGTGCACTATCAAGTGATTGTGATGCATAATAGATAACACAAGAGCTCTTACCGTCTTTCTGTCCCAATACCTCTCCGACGACGTGATTGCTAGTATCACACATAATCTCAAATAGCAATTACCAATTTGGAGGTCGGATGATAGGGGCAGAAGTAAGCATATCTTTCAATAAATTAAATGAACTCTTACATACCTCATTGAAGACAAAGTCTACCTCTTTTTGTAGAAGTTCACAAAGGGGTCGAGTGATATTCGAGAAGTCTTTAAAGAAACGCCGGTAGAAACATGACCAAGAAAAGAACGGACCTCTCTAACACTCGAGGGGTAAGGGAAGGATTTTATGACATCGATCTTTGCCTTGTCAACCTTTATACCCCTTTCCGAGATAACATGACCAAGTACTATACCTTGGTTGACCCTGAAATGACATTTTTCATAATTTAAAACCAAATTACTTTTAATGCACCTCTTTAAAATTTTGGTCAAGTTATCTAAGCATGAACTAAACGAATCACCATAAACTGTGAAATCGTCCATAAAAACCTCAATAATGTTCTCTACATATTCAGAAAATATACTCACCATACATCGTTGGAATGTCTCCGGTGCATTGCAAAGACCAAAAGGCATCCTCCGGTAGGTGAATGTACCGAAGGGGCAGGTGAACGTGGTCTTCTCTTGGTCCTCTCTCGCCACCGGTATCTAATGAAAGCCTGAATAACCATCCAAAAAACAATAGTGAGTACGACCGACTAACCTTTCTAACATTTGGTCTATGAATGGAAGGGGAAAATGGTCTTTTCTAGTTGATGAATTAAGCTTACGATAATCAATACATACTCTCCACCCGTTTGAACATGGGTAGGCACTAACTCACCTTCGACATTCTCTACCACAGTAATGCCAGTTTTCTTAGGGACTACCTGGACCGGGCTTACCCACTTGCTGTCAGAGATTAGGTAGATCATATTGGCGTCCAAAAGCTTGAGTATCTCCTTCTTGACGACTTCCATCATAGGTGGGTTCAACCTCCTTTGCGCCTCTCTGAATGGCTTGTACTCTTCCTTTAATAGRATCTTGTGCTGGCAAAGTGAGGGACTAAGGCCCTTGATGTCGGCGATGGTCCATCCAATCGCCCTTTTGTGCTCCTTCAAAACATCCACAAGCTCTCTTTCTTCCTTCGGTGATAGTGTGACGGATATGATCACCGGAAGGGTCTCTTTATCTCCTAAGTAGGCGTACTTCAGATGATGTGGTAGTGTCTTCAACTCTAGCTCGGGTGCCTGTTCAACATAAGGCAAAAGTCTAATGTGAGATATAGGCAAATCTATTTTAGAGACTTCATACCTTGGCTTTGGTACTTGCCCTTTCTCCATCCAAGACACCAATTCTTCAAAATCATCATCAAGCTTGTACTCTTGGGCAAGCTTCTTAAAACTTCCATTAGTTAAGTCCCTGTCTAGAATCACTTCAAACACATCCTCATTAGATAGATCAAACATAGTGTCAGATAAAGATTTGATAATATCAACAAAGCATAAAGATGAAACATCACTCGGATATCGCATGGCATCAAATATATTAAATTTAATCATCTCGCCATCGAATTACGTGGTCAAACTACCACTATGGACATCTATCTTAGTCTTAAAAGTTTTCAAAAATGGTGTACCTAGCAAAAGCATACCGGCCTTGGAGGCATTTTTCTCCTCCATATCTATAACATAAAAATCTGCCGAAAAGACCAACTCATTCACTTGAACAAGAATGTCCTCTAATACCCCTTTAGGGTAGACAATAGACCTATCCAATAGTTGGATTACCACACCGGTTGGCTTTAGGGGCCCTACATCCAAAGATGAGTAAATGGCATATGGCATAACATTAATTGATGCCCCCAAGTCCAACATGGCTTGATTTACCGAGACATTGCCTACTTTACAAGGTATGGTAAACATGCCCGGGTCTTTACACTTTGGTGGTAACTGTTTTTGCAAAACAGCGGACACATTTTGACTCATATTTATCTTTTCATTACCCTTTAGTTTCCTTTTATTTGTACAAAGCTCTTTAAAAAACTTAGCATATCTAGGAACTTGCTTAATTGCATCTAATAAAGGAATGTTTACCTGATCTTGGCATAAACAGTTAAACTTGCCGAGTCCCCGGCAACGGCGCCAAATATTTGACGGGTGTCGAGTCCGGCAAATAATAGAATTTTATAAAAAAAAAATAAGCATATTATCTCTAAAACACAACTTGTGATAGCGATAAGTAGGGTCGTCTCCTCAGGGACTCGGTGTTAACCGTAAGTCCAAGACGTAACCGCGTGCAAATTCATTAACAATAAAACACTATATATAAAAAAAGGGAGGGGGGGGGGGTTGGATGATTTATAAACAAGTAAAATTTTTTTTGCCAATTAATAAAGACTTTTAGGCGATATACGAAATAATCTAGCAATGAGTATTGATAAATTAATCATGTGAATTATGTATCACTAACCCGACCAAACCATTCTCTCAAAGGATCTCAAATCGGATTGAACACCAATATGCATTGACATTCTATTTGACATAAAACATGACTAATAGGAGATGCCCCGATAACTAGCCTATAATCAACTAATTTAATCCTGTCACGGACTTGGAATTCAATTGTCAATTGCATTAAGTTCATATAAATACCGAAACCAACCAATAAACGGACGCCGTTTATGTGAGTTGGGTTATGCCATCCTATAATACATACAATTAACACACTTGCCAACCGTGTATCGTTTGCTACCGAGAGATATTTACAAACAATTACGGATTCATAAATCACCCTAGCAGTTCAAATCCAAATTAGACTAAGCAAGGGATCCAACTTATGTAATCAAACTTGAATAGGAGAAAACAAATGGGCACAAGGATTGCATAAATAAAATCAATTGATCATGAACCAAATCCATTCTCAACACAGTCACAATCATAATCAATTAGCTACCCAATTGCTAGAAATTAAAAAATTAGCTACTCATTTCCAAAACTGATGTAAACTAACCTGTTGATTGAAACGGAGAAATTGACGATAAACCTTTAGAAATCGTCTCAGAAAACACTCCTAAATTTTGGAAATTGGTCATGTTTCTCCTTCCAATCGACAGCTTCTCTCGACTTTTTCTGCTTCCTCTCGATTTCTACTTCCTCTCTCGATTTCTTCTTCCTCTCTCAATTTCTCCTACTGATTTTCCCCCTCATCCACAGGTCCGTCGCACCTCTCTCGATTTCTTCCTTTTAATCATCATCTCTCTTTCCATGATCTCCCGTCTCTCTCTCTCTCTCTTTCTCTCGATGCCCACGTCCCCCTCTCAATCGCCCACGATCCTCGTCTCTCTCTCACTCGCTGCTGGTCTGGGCAGCAGCCCCAGGCTGATGTTTCTTTCTCTTATGGGCTGCTGGTTTTTTTTTGGCTGTGCAGTGCTGTTTGGACACAACAACTACTTAACTGTAGCAGCTGTTTGGCTACTGTTTCTAGGCTGTTTGGCTGCTGTTTAGAGACAGCATCAATGATGTTTGGAGACAGCAGCAAGGCTGTTTGGAGACAACATTTGTCCTGTTTGGCTGCAGCTTCTGTGCCGTTTAGCTGCTGTTTGGACCAAAAACAACTAATCAACACATTTTTTTTCTCAACTCTAATGGTCTCATATAGTTAGATTAACTTAAATTAAATTGGCCCTTTTTAAGCATATATTTAACATTAATCTCAAGGTACTTTGACGTAAAAAAGGTATAAATTTGGACTTATCACCACCCCAAGATGAAAATGTTTCATCTTCGCACAGATACATTCCTATGTCTGAAAAGGTAGTTTCTCCAAAGTGGGACAAAACAAGAATTAGAGAACCTTTTCTTGAAGACATCTACCGGGATATTTTTGTTCATTCCCTAAGAGATCTTAGCTTAGAAATTTTTTTGGGAATTCGAAGAGAGACACCAACTTATAGACAAGAATACAAGTACTTCATGAACGCAAAAAGCAGGCTCGTTCATTGTGTAAGAACAAGGCACCAGATCGTATCAATCAAGAAGGTTGAAGCCATACAACTGTAAGGTTGTGGTATCCAGTCTTTTATGTTGTTCCCCAAGATGGCAAAAAATGGTGTTTCTGTGAAATTGACTTTCCAAACCCATATCGAGAAGACTTAGAATTCATGTACCATGAGTTTAGAAACCAGACTGTCAGATTTGAAGGAGTTGTTAGAGCATTGGAAGCCATCAAGAGATTTTTGAAGTGACACAACAAATTGTCTTCGATAATCGACGTTCAAATACGCTATGAAAATAATCAAAAGAAAGTGAATATGTTGAATCCTTATCAAGAACTAGAAGACGCTGATGGTTATCCATTGTTTATGATTCTTGAAGATCTAGAATTTGGAGTGGTATATTAGAATGCTAAGGGTGCTAAAATGTTTATAAGATTCTTTCTCTGAGTTGTCAAAGTACAGGGATGGTACAATCAAGTTGATAAAAAGATAACTAGAATCTAAAAGGTACTTGATGATAAAGCTTCAAGGTCTGATAAGTTAAACTTGAGGGAAAGGTTCTTACTGCTTAAAGCTTTGGAGTTTTTCGACGAAAAGATAGAATACAGAATGTTGTCAGAAGATTGGAACCACACCTTGGATTCTGGAGATCAAGATTTTCTATATCCTGAGCTTGAATCCAAAAGGGGCGAATGTTGGATTTGATATTTTGTAGTTGTATTCAAGCCTATTTCCTTTGTAATTCTGTTTAATATAAATAGTTAGTTTCCTTTGTAATAGTTAGGAGTGCTTATCATTTGTAACTTGTAATCTTTGACGATCAATGGAACAATCCTTTGGAAACTTTCTCTCTCTACAATTTCATAAACTACCATTGTTGAATATCATTGTGATCTTGATAATTGTGAATTCATTGATTAATTTTGGAACATCAATCTCAAGAAACTATTATCATACAGTGATTTTTGGTGTATATTGGTTTAGATGTGAACATGTGAATCCTAACATAGATTTAATATGAATTTTTATCATAACTTAACCGTGTATCAATTTAAAGCTCATAACTGAGATTCTTAATCAGATTAAGATTCATATGTGAAAATACGAATCCTAAAATATAGATTTACATGTAAATCATAACATAGATTCATATGAAAATCTTAATTTGTACTTATAAGGGAATCAATTTACAACTTATAATCTTGATTTTGAATCAGGTTAAGATTTATATGTGAATCTTAATATATATATATATATATCATTATAGATCTTAAATTAAAGATAATGAAAGACTCGTTTTTTTTTGGCTTGAGTTATTTAATTAAAATATTAATTATATTTTAGATAATTTAATTTAAAAGAAAGTGTACAATCTATTTAAAAAAGAAAGTGGGTGTTTTCTTTTAAAAATGAGTGAATTAGTGATTTAGTTATACAAAAGTTTTAGAATGTCCCCTCAACTTCTTTAGGTTATTTATATATTTTAAGATCTTTGCTATCAAGAAATCTGATTTAATGGTTGAGATCTTTTCTCATATTTTCAAAAATTTTGAGCTTCTCATTTGAAGCCTCTCTTATATGTGTGTGTATGTATGTATGTATGTATGTATGTATGTAATAAATGTATGCATGTATGTATATGGATGAGATCCTAGAGAACCTCACAAGAAGAGAAGAGAAGAGAAGAGAGAGATTGTAATGAAAAAGATATCAATATAGATGCAAATTAAAAAGAATAAAATAATTGTTTTTTATGTATTTTTTATATTATATATGATAAATAAAAATATATAGTATTTTCAAATAAAATTGTTATTTTGATGTCTTTAGGTCATTAATATTATCGGGTTTCTCAAAATTGGACTTTCAAGGTTAACATGATTTTCATATCAAGTGAATGATCAAAAGGTTTGATTCGTACGGTCAATTTGTGGTCTAAAATATCGATAGTAAAATTGTCTCTACAAAGATATGGCATTATTTATTTCAACAAGTAAAATAGATCCAAAGTAATGAAGTGTCTTAAGTTACGTTTTATGAAAAATGCATGATATTTTCCTAACGATCTCCCAAAGGGAAAGATAAAGAAAAATGCAAGCACGAATGTCATCATCGACAAGCCTAAAAAGCCTCGTTACACTAATCAAAGAGACATATGAATTGAATTGTTAAAGGTTAATATCAAGAAAGATAGAAGCTGTCCTTCTCGGTTCGACTGAGTGAGCTCAAGGAGGTTACGATGCGTGAATGGGAGAATAACTGGTTCTTCCTTCCATTTTGTTTTTATGGTCGTATAATTAACCACCTTAGATTTACTGTAACCGTGTTTTAGAAAACGTTCATTGCAACAAGATACGTCTAGCAGCCCCTGCTAATCCCCATGACTAAGGGTTTGTATTTTACTACCACTGTTCAGTAGTGTCGATATGGTTAAAACATAAATTTTTATAAGCTTTATATGGTTAACATCAATCTATAGCTATTTATCAGTATCAGTATCAGTACCAGTATTAATATTATAATTAGTTTAAAATTTATATTACTTATAAGTTGAATTTACTTGTAATAGGAAATTAAATACCCTGCATTGACGGTCTTCAATGTTACCAAGAGTCTCCACGTTTCCCAACCATATCTTCCACCTTTTAAAAATGTTCAATAAATATTATTTTATTTTATTTCTATTAAAAGTTAATGAGTCGATAAATATAGGTCAAATGTTTATGTCAAAAAAGTCAAACCCTCTGTCCCTCCATAAATAGGGGGAAACCCATATCTATTTTCTCATACTCACACGACAACCGTAATGGCGGAGACAGATGGTGGAGGAGCTGCTGCTGCTGCTGCTGCTACTAACGGCCACCGTGATCTCACCCTCAATATTGAGGATCAAACTCATCATCAAACTTCCTGCCTTCCAACTATTCCCTTTCTCCAGAAGGTCTTTCCCTTTTTTCTCTAGTTTTCTCTAATCGAGCAACCTCTCGTTATCTGTGAATCGATTCTATTCCATATATTCATAAATTTTGAAAAATCAAAACCCTAGAATCGGCTGCGTTTGATCCAATTGTGCCTCTTAAATCAAACTGATTTGCCGTTAGGGTTGGTCAGCGTTCCCACCTAAATTTGGGGGAATGAACTTGAAACAAAACCAGATTTAATTTTTCAAAATATATAGTTATAATGTGGAATTCGTTGATGTGTGAGGTTTTGGTGATTGAATCAGTTGATAGCAGAGGTGCTGGGGACATATTTCGTGATATTTGCGGGATGTGCAGCGGTGGTGGTGAATGCCGACAAGGATAAGGTGGTGAGTCTGCCGGGAATATCCATCGTGTGGGGGCTGGTGGTGATGGTGATGGTTTACTCCGTCGGACATATCTCCGGCGCCCATTTCAACCCTGCTGTCACCATTGCTTTTGCCTCTTGCAGCAGGTTCCCTTTCAAACAGGTAAATATTAGAGAAATTTGACAAAAATAGTCATTTTTTCATCTATTTAAATTAGTCTTCTAACCATTTTTCTATTGAATTTACTGAAAATGTTACTACGTCTGTAATATTTGCATCTGCAATATTACAGACCTGGCTAAAAAAAAAAAATTAATTCCACGAGATTAACAAGTGACACTGTCGTAATTGCGGACCTGGTTGTCGTAATTGCAAACCTAACCATCACAATTGGTATCTGGGAGAATCTGATAATTTTTTTTTTGTATTTTATCCGATTCCGTAATATTAGAGACATAGATATTGCGGACATGACATTTAGGTAAGTCAAGAAAAAAAATAACTTAAAAACCAATTTACATGGATAAATTTTATAGGTGAATATTAACATGTAATTTTAATTTTAATTTCATTTCAATTCTTTCTATTGTCATAATTTTTAATAAATGAAATAAAGTTAAAATCAAAATCTTTAATTTCTTGACATAATACATTTTATTTAAAATAATATTATATTTATTTCAAAAAGAACATTTTTTTAGAAATACGTTTGAGTTTGTGTTTGGCGAATTAAGTTATAAGTTAATCGGTGAACTAATTCTTGAAACTAGAAGAGTATTCGGGCAATGCAACGAGATATTTTGATTTAATTATTTCATTTTATTTTTTTGGTCTTTGTCGATGTTATAATATGAATTTTTGTGGTTTTTGAGCATACAATAATGTTTTTTAAATATAAATTTGAAGATATCATAAAATTAAAAAAATTACAAAAGTTCTAATTTTTTTTTGTTAATTCTTTAATTCAAATTTTTTATTATAATTTAATTTAGGTTTAATGACAAAGTAATTTGTTTTTGGTTTAATAATATAGTTTTTATAAAGATAATAACTAAGTATTTTGTTAAAACTCAATAATTATCATAATTATATTTTAGATATATATTTAAAATAAGAATTTTATCCTATATTTAATTATATTTTATTCACAATTAGTTATACGAATTCAAATATGAAACTTAATAAGTTGTAATTATGCATAATTTACTTGTAATCTTGAATTTTAGGTAATATACATATCAATAAACAGTACTTCATGAATACAATATGGTTTTTAAGAGTTTTTGTCAAATGCTTAATAATATAGTACAGATAATTGTGTTTGATAAAAAAATAAAGGATAAATTAGAGAAAAATATTAAATAATCTAAAATGATATGCTGAAAAGTTATTGAATTTCAAATGTGGAACATAATTGGAAAAATGGAAAAAAAAAAAGCACCGAACCTTATCCAAAATCTATTTAAATAGCTTTTCATAATTGAAAAAAAAATAATTCTAAAAATGAATTTACATTCGTTAGAGACAATTTTTCTATTTTAACAATTACAACATTAATTATGTTATTAAAATTCGTAAAATATTATTTATCTCTATTAACTGTTTAATTTCAAGGATTTTCATTAACATAATTAATAAAAATTTATTTCTAGATCAATCATGTTTTCCGTAATATGTTTAAAAAATATAATATTTATAAATAAATATATTTACACTATAAACCTGAAACATAACTTTAAAAATATATTTTACAAAATAAAGAAGTAAATTCAATTTGAAATTAAAAAAATATATAATAAGGCTATAAATTATGGACGAAGTCCCTCTTCATCAAATTTGATTGGGACCTTTTTTGTACTCTCTACACTAAAAAATTATATACGAATTAAAAATATATATACAAGAAGATCAATAATTGGATGTTATTATTAAATTAATCGGATATTAATTATTAAATTAACTTTGAAACTTATGTTTGTCCTTTGTTCTTAATGTTTGGGAATCTTTACTGATTATATGAAAGTTAACAGTCATACAAATTCTCTGATGATTATGATGATATTTGTAACTGATTATGTTTTTATAAATAATTTTTATTTGTTTTCTCAAAGGTACCGGCATACGTTGCAGCTCAAGTCCTTGGGTCAACCCTAGCTAGCGGAACTCTACGTTTAGTGTTCAGCGGACACCAAGATCATTTTGCAGGGACCCTTCCCGTTGGATCGGATCTCCAATCTCTGGTTTTGGAATTTATTATCACCTTCTACCTTATGTTTGTCATTTCTGGCGTTGCCACCGATAACCGAGCGGTTAGTAATATATCTTTTTAATACTTGGCAATTTCTTTCATCCCAAAAATGCATTTGATATTGTATGTAGTTTTTTAACTAATAATTAAATACCTAAAATATTTGTTAATAATAAAAAAAGAAAACTAAAAATCTGATGACGATTAATATTTAAGAGTAAATTACATTTTTCGTTCTTATAGTTTTTTACAAATTTTGGATTTCGTTCCTTAGTGGTTTTAGTTCCTATGTTTTGTAATTCATTTCTATTTTTATCCCTAATGTTAAACAGTACTTTCAAGAATGAGGGACTAAAATATAAATAAATTGTAAACTACATGGACGAAAAAAACAACAAAATTTTAATCGTAAGGACTAAAACAAAAATAAACTATAAACTATAAGGATGAAAATCGTAATTTCAAAACCACAAAGATGAAAATAGAAAGTTTCAACAAACCATAGGGATTAAAAACATAATTTATTCTTTATTTGGAAATATATGCAGATTGGAGAATTAGCTGGACTTGCGGTTGGAGCTACCGTTTTATTAAACGTCATGTTCGCTGGGTATAATTTCTCATCTTTTAGAAATATAATTCTACCATCGTCTCCATTCGACTATGATACAACTCATTTATGTAAGTTTGAATAGATGACAATTCACAAGTTATCTGATAAATAAATTAAGGGGTCATTTACCAAACGCTTACTCGGATAAGTGCTTATTAAATCACATTATATTACCGGATGAATATGGTAAGGACTAAGAATCTTACCCGGTAAGAGTGAAACAAGGACCAAGAGTCTTACCCGGTAAGTGAGGGCAACGACCCTTACCATGGTAAGTGCTTACCGGGTAAATTGTTGCATACGATGTCGTTTTGATGGACTAAAACCTTACCCGGTAAGTAATGATAGTTGTAATTTTGCCGGTAAGCACTTACCGAGTAAGTGTTTGGTAAACGGCTCTAAAGTTTAACAAAAACTAGTTGATAAGTTAGATGAAAAATGTTAAATGATAAAAGGCCATCTTGAAAAATTAATCAATAACAACATTTTATAATATAACTAAAATAAAAATCTCCAATAATATCATGTGTTAATTAATACAAGATAGTAAAGAAAAAT